GTTGGATACTAAGGATTGGGAGGATCAGAAACATGCTTGCCTCATGGAAGAATCAGTCAGAGAGAGGTCTGGTGAGTAGAGGAAAGCATGCAGCAATTCTGCCCTCATTGCAGGGCTCCCATGAGGACCTTTTGGCCACACACAGCACATATCCTTGTCTCTGCTTGAAAAAAAGCACAGGGCCTAGGACCTGAAAAAGAAGGCCCTTCCCCTAGACATCCAATGGCAGATGGTTCGTGCAGCCAATCAACACACAGTGAGCATGCATTCAATCTTTGCTCCCTCCTACAGAATGACTACGATCCCTTAACAGGTGGGAGAGCCATCACTCATACATTTCTACGTGTGCCAAACTTTGCAGACCAGTCAGTTCCACAGGGAGCCAGCCCTCAGTGGCTGTCTCCTCCAGGGATATGCTTATAGAATATTTTGCCATGAAGTGAGACTATCCTCAAGACAGCAGGAAAGCAGTAGGCTTTGGAAGGCCAGTCAGACACTCCACGAGCTCACGCAGACCTGAGTTTCATACAGTGGAATGTTTCGGAATGGTTCGGCATTCAGGGAACATGCACGCCAAGAAACTATCATACAGAGGTCTGGAGAGTCATTGTTCAATGTGGAGTGAGCCTCAACCTGCCCGAAGCCATGAGCCAGGTCCACACCGTGAATCAGTGAGCCATCTCTTGAGCCTGCCCTCCTCCCAGAATCAAAAATGTGAAGCCTTGGGATCGACCTAGCTTTGCAGACACCTTAGAATCATAACACATTGATGGCTGGAGAAACTTGAGGAGCTCCTAACCACATCGTGAGCCGGCCAGTCCCCTGGACTTCAAGCACTCCACAGGTTAGGAATCATTTGCATCTAAGAGACCTGCACTCATACTGTGGTCACGCGGTGAAAACTTTCACAACTGTTAGATGCATGGTGAGAATGACCTGGCTTTGTCCTCCTTGCAGTGCAACCTGGAGCTGCAGACTTGCATGAAGTGAGTTCACTCTCATCCCAGGCTATGTCTAGGAAAGTATTTAGGAGGAGTTACTCTTGCAGAGTGCTCTTGCTCTCCACAGCATGCATACAGCCACTTAAAAAGGAGGGGTTATGGAATCTGTGAGAAAACCTCCCTTGGGAGAAATCCCTATTGAAAACTGAGTAGGCGATGGCCATGCATTGATACCACCAGTGTCGCAGCATGCACAAGGCTCCAATGGAACAATGGATAGCCAAGCACTCAGGCTCCATTCCCACTAGCTGCCTCCCTCCAAAGGCCTAGCATGGATTGCCCAGCCAGAGGGCCCTCACTCCTGTCATTCTGCATGAAGCACAACAGGCTCCACCAACCAGCTGAATGATGAGTAGAAGATCATCCAGGATTGACTCCAGCAGGCTGTTTAGGTTCCCTGTGTCCCGCAGTGTGCTCACACTAACCCCAGCCTGATGCTTACCATCTGACAAGGAATGCTTCATGAGTAAGTCTGCCTGCCGTCACTTAAGCCTACAACCTGTGGGGAACAGAGCAGGGCCTAGCCCTGCAGTCAGCCCGAGTTGCCAAACATAGCAGGTAGCACACCCAAATACAGTGGAGAGCCATGCAGTGAGCCTGCATTCCATCCATTTTGACACAGCCACACCACTGAGGTCCTTACAATAACACAGAGATCCCTCACTCCTATTGTGCAGCATTCGCCTGATCTTCAGTGCATCATTAGAGCCATGCTGAATCTGCCCTGCCTAGCATGCCTTGAGTGGACTGCTTATGGACTGCCTAACAATGCAGTCTACATG